ACACACACACACACACACACACACACACACACACACACACACCTGTAATGCATAGAAATATGGACACCTACAGTTTATACATATATATTAACATATCGGCACATTTTTTTGGGGAGGTACTTTTGGGAAGATATTCCATCAAAAATCGTAAAATTAAAAAAATATTGACATATGTTTTTCAGCTTGCATATAATTTAAACACACAGATTGAAAAATATGGATATTAATATTTTTTTTTATTTCAACATTTAAATATCTTTTTTTTATTAACATTTTCAATAGAATTATTTAAAATATATTTTAAATATCGGTTTTCCTATTTTTGATTTTCTAAAATATTTAAATTACACAAGCTGAGAAAAGAAAGATTATAATAATCAGAAAGATTTATAAAAATCAGAAAGAAATCAAAACAATTAATAGAGATAATTTCTTAATTTTTCAATATGAATAGTTCTCAAATATATTTGATTAGCAGGTTGATTATATCAACTAAAATGTTGAATCTATGACATATTTTAGCATTGCTATTTTCAATTAATAATATAAATAATATATTATTTATTATTATGAATAAATAATATAAATTTATTTTTCTAAATTTAAATTTAGAAAAATAAAAATATTAAATTAGAAATTATCAAAAAACATTATACAAGAATATTTTATATTCATAATTTCTATCGGAAATGTTCTTTTATGTTTTATTGTTTTCGGTCTGACGATACCTATGCGATGAGTATCTGTTGCATTGAAAATAGCAGTCTATTTTGCATGTATAAAGATAAAAATAATTTTTGAAAATTTAAGATAAAAGAATTATATATATAATAATATTTTATTAATTGTATGTATTGATAGTCGATGGATTTTGATTTCGATCCCGATTGATCCCAATTCTCATTCTATTTTAATTTTCTATTCTAATTTTTTAAACTTTGACTTGTACTTTTAAAAATGTTTTTAAACATTTTCAATTTATATACAACAAATTGATTTTTTAATAATTTATAACATGACATAATTTACTGCATAATTTCTTTTGTTAATTTTTAATGAAACATTTAATCCTGCAGAAGGAACAAATTGTAAATTAAAAACTAGAAAAAAACAAAGTTGTATACCGAAAGTAATTTAATCAAACAACTGTTATAAATTTTTCAATTTTGGTACAAAGTGCGGCAATGAAAGGATTACGAAAAAATTGCCGGTTCTAGTTTAATTTGAGCAATTCTTAATAATTATCTTTCTTTTGATGGAAATTATTCTTCTCTAAGTTTCTTAATGAAAACTTTGTTCCCACAAGCATAGTCATTGCGCATTGTTGATCATTCTGTTTCCATAGGAATTCTTCAGTGGAACATGAAAAATGTCAGGGCGCGATAGCACCAGCATTCACCTACCCTCTCGTCTCGTCTCGTCGTTACCGAAGGTATGCCTTATCATCGAGGTATGCTTCGGGTTAATAAGTCACGGAACGCGTACATGTCGGTGGTGGTACGGTGGCGGCACGATGGCCGCTTGTCCCCTCCGCCCCTATAAGAATTGGATGGTACCATCGCACGCGATCCGCCACCAGGCTCCTCCAGTTACAACGTTGAGGCGCCGTTCGATTTTCTTCGTCGACTTCTCCCGGTTGGGAGAAGCGTATCATCGATTGGCCGACTGGGCGACCGGTATGCGTTCTTAGAGGGTGAAGCGAAGAGTCGCTTGATAAAGAGTCGCGGTAGAACGCGCTCGCAGAATGCTGGCGACGAACAGCGCTTACGGTTGTCGCGACTGTCATCGCGCATTAGCTGGTAGCGTGACGAGTATCGCGACTATCGGCAACCCGAGTGTAACGCGTCCGAAATTTTCTCCGAGAATCACTGCCAAATTGAAAACGTTACCCGGTATAAGTAGCTACACGGATCCGGCGTGCGTCGCACGGATGAAGCGCTTGAGAAACAGGTGAAGTTGAATTTATTTGTTTTATATATTAAGAACAAGATCAACATTTTACACGATAAATATTATTATATTATAATATTAATATATAATATAATATTATAATATTACAGTATTAATTATATATGTTATAATAGAAATAAATATCTAAAAAGAAAAATGTTTTAATATTTTTTAATTTTCAAAATTTTTTATTTTTGTTTGAGATATTTATATTATTCGCCAAATGACATGTATATATCTTTTATATTTAATACATTTTTTATATTTATTTCTCGATTGCAGAAGATTGATAGAATTATAAAATTTATTATAAAAATATAACAATAATTTTGCTGAAACCAAGTAGAATCTGCCATTTTGTTAAAATTGAAATAAAATATATTATTTTATTTCAATTTCAGACAAATATTGCTTGGTTTTTAATACTGTCAGATTGTGTTGGCAGATTCTACTAGCAGAGCAATACAAATTTAATAAGAATGCAGTTGATGGCAATATTTTATTTAACTTTAGCGATTAACTGCTAGGATATTATTAACGATTTATATGGGCGTGTGAGCTGTATGCGCGTTATATTTAGTGATATTGATTTAGTTAACTGTCCGAAAAAGAAACTATTATTTTGCAGAAAAACAAATGGAACTTCAAAATTAGATCTAAGCAAGAGGAAACCGGCGGATTATATGGAGCTGGCATATAGGGAAGCTATCTCAAAATTAAAGTATCTATTAGCTGAATCTTACGCTCCGACGGGAATGTCCGGAACGTGAGTTGACAAAAAAATCAAAATTTGCAAATAGTTAATTATTCACTTATTATTAATGTCGTAAATAGAAAAAAAAGAGATTAAAAAAAAGAGATAATAAAATTCGTGTATAAACATAACAATTTTCATGAAACAAAATTCAGGAAATGACAAAATTGTGTTTTATTTTTAGTTATTTTTCACTTATTTTATACATATATGATATAAAAATTATTATATAGAAAACAACGAAGTGTTCGGAGCATATATAAAAGTAATCCGCGAATTAGCGAATCTGGAGAGGACACAGATGACCAGAGTATGATTAGCGATAATTTTCGGAAAAAGGATCTTTCCAGAAGCGCAGCTTTAAATACCTTTCCTCCTCTCTCGAAAACTATTCGATCATCGAAGGCGTACAGCAATATAGCATTGTCAAGAGCCGATCTTCAATCCATTCCTCCGGAATTAACGACCTTCATTGAACGGCAAGAAGATTACATCGAACAATTAGAACGAGAGTCTCAATATTGTAGAGATGAACTGATCAATTTATTGAGCAAAGTTCGCGAGGTATAATTTTTAACGCGATTGAAGTAACGCTGGAGCAAAAGAGCGCGCAATATAATTTTATCTCGTCAATTATTCTTCACAGGTTGTAGCTGAGAACGAGACATTGCGTAGCAGAAATCAAATTGCATTGCCAAAATGCGTTCTACAGGATCATAAAGATCACTGCGGGACGAATCACGAGTGTCACAAGCAGGACGATCATATCGTTGATAACGTATTAGAACCCAAACGAGAGAAAGCCTTGGAAGGACCTAGTATAATATTCGAGTCGAGAATTAGCGAGTTGGAGGCGCAATTAACTCAGGCCAAACTGGAGTTACGAAAGACGCAGGAGGAGAACCAAGCAAACTTGAAACGTTTGTCCGAAAGCGGTTCAAATGAGAGCAACGCTGAATTGAAGGCCGAATTGGATAAGGCTTTACGCGCCAAGTATGAAGCTGAAATGAAGCTAGAGGAATTGCAGAAAATGTTGTCGGTCGCGAGAGACAAAGAAACCGAGGCGACGCAGAGAGCGAAGCGAACCATGGATGATAGACACGAGATCGAGTTTGAGAGAAATCAGAGCGAAATGGAGATTCGCAGATTAAAGGACGAGCTGGAAAGGCAACACGACAAATTACGAGAAGCGGCTCAAGAAGCAAATAGGCGTATAACCGAGGAAAGGCAGCAAGTGGAGCGTCGATACAATCAGCAAATTGAGCAACTCACTGCCGATATCGCGACCCATTGGGAGGCTACCAACAAGTCACAACTGGAGTCTGAGAAACAGAGACGTGAGATAAACGAACTGAGACGAGAGTTGTCTCAGAAGCAAACAGCCATCGACAACCTGAAGAAAGAGTTACAAAATAAGATTTGTAAGTTAAAAGCCTTAAAAGATTGAATTATTTGCGCAAAATTACACATGAAGAGATATTTTCGTTTCGTTTAGCCACCCTGCAGAGCGATCTTAATCAGGCATTAAGTGAAAAAGATGCGGCGGAACAAGAAGTTTTAACCGGTAAACTGGCGGCTGAACGAAGCGAGAGGCAAGCTCGTCAAGAACAGAACAGGCTGCAGGCGGAAATAAATTCGTACAAGCAGCGTCTGGAAAGAGCGGACGCCGATTTGGTACATTGTAGACGAGAGAATCTACGATTATTGGAGCAAATAGCATCTTTGGAAAAAGAGGTGAATATCCTGTCACTTTAAACGATCAATATATATGTCATGTACTTTTAAATAATAATAAAAAATTAAAAATTACTGTGTTACAAAAAGTTACAATGATGTATTGTATAATAAAATTCTTTCTATTTTCAGATCAGCATGAGTAAAATTGTACGGTCTGAAGAAAATCGTAGCGAAGTTACGCCTAGATTGGAGAACGAGAAGGAATTGACTTCCATGATAATGGATATGGAGACTAAGCATGGTAAGATATCGCCCTAGGTATGCCTATGTTAGGTATATTGTCCGTGAAAAATTTATTATTGTTGACGATGATTTAAGAATAGTACCTTTATGTGTGAGAAATCGGCATGCTGACACTATATGCCTAGCATAGGCGGAGATTGAGATTAGTCAATTAACATCGCAACAGGCTGACCAGGCAACCAAATTTCGCAGCTGCCACGGTGGCGGGCCTAGAAGACGCCTTGAATAATCAGGCCACACTCGTCTCAAGATTGACTGCCGAATGCCAATCTCTCACACAGCGTTTGGAAGCTAACAATCTTAAACACAAGTATATTCTTAGTCCGACATGCGGAATCCGAATGAAAGATTTAACGCACGTAGCTTCAAACTGTCAGACATTTACTTAGTTTAGCTGACTCTAATTAGTGTCAGACTTGAAGAAGCGCAGCTTGATTCATAACATATTAACACCCATTGTCATACGCGCGTTTATTACGATGCCGAATTAGTAGATAAGGATGCACAACTTTTCACTGTATATATTTGGGGCTATTCTGTGTTGACAGAGGGGGTCGTTGAGAGAGATGTGACAACGGTTGGGCAAACCGCTTCGCCTTCGAGCAAGAAACGTACCGTTAAGGTTGATCTAAAAGTAAAAGTAATTCCGAAAAAGAAGTCCGACACCTCCAAAACATCTCTATCAGCACAGTAATAGCGACGTGTGTCCTAACAAATAATAATTACATATTATTCTCGATGTGACACTGATTTTCCGCTAATAGTTAACTTTTAACCCCGTATCTGTTAAACTCTATTTACACGTTTATCACAGGGAAGAAATGGCCGACTTACAAAGCAACATAGAACACCTATCAAGTAAAATTCAAGGCAGCCTTGTAAGTCACGCAGGTATTAATTTTTATTTAATTCACATGCAACTTTCTAATTTACACGCGAACACATTGAATATCGAGTAACAACGATTATTTTCCAGGAGGAATTGCTATGGAAACTAACAATGGTACTGGAGCTTTTCCTTATAACACTACGATGGATTCAGTAGTCTCGCCGCATACGAACGGATTACCGGTCGATGCTCAAGCATCACAAATGCTACATCAGGGATACGATACTACGAATAGTCAACAAGCGACGGACGAAGGGCAAGAAATGTATTCAAATGCACCGAAAAGAAATGATCAATCGCAGGACAACTTGTATGACCAATCAAGCAATCAGATTGTACAAAATAACTTTGCACTAAATGCAATGGAAACTACAGAGATGTATCAGCAGCAAGGAGATGTTCGAAATAACGAAGAATACACAGCGAATGATCCAAATATGGAAACTTATATGATGGAGCAGGATCATAATCAATACAGTGAATATCCTTCCCAGTATCAGGAAGAGCAGTATATGAATGGCAGCCAGTACAACGTGATGGCAGAGCAGATGGAAAATAATCAAACTATCTCTGATGTAGGCAAATCCAGTACTGAAAATCTACATTAACGTATTCTATATTAATGACACATATATATATATATATATATATAAATATAACGCTAATAGTAACTATTTAGAAAAATACAGGATAATGTATAAATCCAT